GCTCGTCCTGGAGGGCCCTCGTCGCCACGGCCGTGTGCTCCCCGACGTGGTGCTGGTCAGAGCGAAACCCGCGAGAGTTTCAGGGAGTAGCGGTATCGGCACCTTTTTGCCCCCCAAGAGAGAGAGATAGAGAGAGAGAGGGAGAGAGAGAAGGAACGAAAATTCCTTTCTCTCTCTCGCGCGCTCTTTTTCTATATATATACACCATATATAATATATATATATATATATATATATATATAATATATATATATATGTATATATATATATATATAAAAGAGAGAGAGCGTGATCCACCGCCGCTTTACTGTGGAAAATTGCCAACCTTTTCCTCCGGAACCCGGGGTCGCCCCCCCCCCCCCCCCCCCCGAAAATCCCCCCCCCCCCCTGCTGGAACCCCTCCCCCCCCCCTCCCCCGGCAAACCCCCCCCCCCGAAACCCTCCCCCCCCCCCCCCCCCCTCCCCCTCGAAAACCGGGGGGGGTCACTACCGGTTCGAACCCCCCCCCCCCCCTCGAAAACCGGGGGGGGTCACTACCGGTTCGAACCCCCCCCCCCCCTCGAAAACCGGAGGGGGATCACTACCGGTTCGAACCCCTCCCCACCCCCCCACTCACCGCCAGCAAACGACTCCCGGTCCCTACCACCGTCCGCATCACATCCTCCACTGTTGTTCCCAGCACCACTGTCCTCACCACCACTGTCCCCACTGTGTCCCCACCAGTGCCCCCACCACTGTCGCACTGTCCCCACTGTCCCCACCACTGTTCCCACCACGGTTCCACTCTCCCCACTGTCTCCACGGCCCCAACCACTGCCCGACTATCCCCACTGTCCCCACTGTCCCACTGACTCCGCCGCTGTCCCACTGAGCTGTCCCACTGTTCCCACCACTGTCCCCACTGTCCCCACCACTGTCCCCACTGTACCTCTGTCCCATTGTCCCACCGCCGTCCTCGCCACCGCCTTCACCACTGTCCCCACCACCATTGTACCCTCCACTGTCCCACTGTTTCCACCTCATTCCCACTGTGCCCACACCGCTGTCCCCACCACCACCGTCCCCACCACTGTCCACTGTCCCCCCTGTTCCCACCATTGTCCCCACCACTGTCCCCACCACTACCGGCCCTCTACTGTCCCACTGTCCCACTGTCCCCACCACTGTCCCGCTGTCCCCTCACCACTGTCCCACCAACACCGTCCCCACCTCTGTCCGCACCCCCACTCGGTTTTCGAGGGGGGGGGGGGTTCGAACCGGTAGTGACCCCCCCCCCTTTTCATGATGAGCTGGGGGGGGGGGAGGGGTTCGAACCGGTAGTGACCCCCCCCGGTTTTCCGGAGGGGGGGGGGAGGGGTTCGAACCGGTAGTGACCCCCCCCGGTTTTCCGCCAGCAGCGGTAGAACACGCTCTTTCATATATATATATATATAGAGAGAGAGAGAGAGAGAGAGAGAGAGAGATAGAGAGAGAGAGAGAGAGAGAAAGAGAGAGAGAGGGAGGGAGGGAGGGAGGGAGGGAGGGAGAGAGAGAGAGAGAGAGAGAGAGCGCGAAAGAGTGAGAGAGTGAGAGAGTGAGACAGAGCGAGAGAGAGAAAGAGAGAGATGTGCAGTAGTCGCGCGCACCCTCATCCTCCTCCTCCTCCTCCTCCTCCTCATCATCATCATCATCAGCATCAGCATCAGCATCAGCATCAGCATCATCATCATCATCATTATCATCACCATCATCATCATCATCATCATCATCATCATCATCATCATCATCATCATCATCATCATCATCATCATCATCATCATCATCATCATCATTGTGTGTGTGTCCTCGAGGCATGCCATGTCCCTCCTCCCCATCATCATCATCATCATCATCATCATCATCATCATCATCATCATCATCATCATCATCATCATCATCATCATCATCATCATCATCATCATCATTGTGTGTGTGTGTGTCCTGTGTGTCCCGGCCACTGCCCCGTTAGGGGCCAGCCGTCTCGCCTCTCCTTGCTTCTCTTTCTCCTCCTCTCCTGCACTTCCTGCGCGCTCGGCCGCTGGCCGCGCGCCCAACGGTGTGGCGAGTCGCCCGCCCGCAACGCCCGCGACGCTGTCCTCCCATGTTTGCCTCAGACGGTTATTTCTCCCATCGGACAGTGCCTCCTGGGCCACCCTCCACGCGACAGGAATTTCGAGCTTGTTCGTAGGAAGGCTTGCAGCTCCCACCCCTGGCCGGGCGCCGCCCGCCCGCGGCTGTGCTGCGTGCGCCGGCCTGGGCCTGACGCGCTGCTGACTCTCTGCTCCCCCCCGCCCTGCCTGCCCGCGGCCTGGTGCGTGGCTCCCCCACGCTGCCGCTCTCGCGGCCGCCCGGGTCTTGCGGCTGCCTCCACCGGCCGTCCTGGCCACGTCCAGTCTCCGTTCCCGCCCCTCCCTCCGGGCCCCCCCGCCCCAGCTCGCGGGGCGGGCGCGCTCCTGCCTCCGCCGCCGCTGCGCCGCCTTCCCCGGCGGGCCACCCCGCGCCCCCGGGGCCGGCCGCTGCGGCCTGCCTGCGCCGCCCGCCCCCGGGTGCGGAGGTGATGCGGCGCCCGCGCCCGGCTGCCAGGGGGGTCGACCCCCCGCGCCCGGCTGCGGCTTCGCCGCGGGAGCGCGCTTGCCCTCCCCCTGTTCCCCTCGCCCGCGGCCGCCCCTCTTCTTCTTCCCCCTTTTGTTTTACATTGGGGACAATGCGCCAGTGCCGTCTCCCGGCCTGCTGGGCGCGCGTGCGGGCTGATTCCGCCGCGCCGCGACGTCAAGCAAATGTGTGTGCCGTCATCCGTGCCCGGAGGACTGCTGGCGACGGCTGCTGCGAGCCCTTCGACGGCTTCTGAGGGCTCGGGCGCTTCGGTGCGCGCGCGATCGCTGTTCCAGACTTTCTTCGCCTCGTCGCTGCACGGAGGCCGCAACGCCAAAGATTGTGTGTATGATCTTGTGTGTGTATGTGTGTGTGTGTGTGTGTGTGTGTGTGTGTGTGTGTGTGTGTGTGGGTTGCTCCCGTGCGCGCTCGCGCTGCCCGTCGCGCAGCCCCGCCCACACATGTCTCGGCTGCGCCCGAAAGAAAGGTAAGGAGCTAAGGCTTGCTCCGCTTCGCCTTAAATCTTTGCTCACACGCTGTTCGAGAGGACGCGTGGGGAAGAATAGGCAGGAGGAGGGCGAACACGGGAGCGAGAAGTCATAGGGAAGGATGGGGATTATGTTGTGGAGGAGCGGACGAATGCGCCTGGGGCGTGTCATCGCCGTCCCCTGTGGCCGAGCGGCACATTGTTTGATTGCGTATTGTAACTATTTTTGGTGTTTTGGGGGCGTCTTGGCCTCATCCTGGGGCCGCTTTGAGGCCCTGTAGGTGAGCCCTCGTCGGGGTGATCTTGGGATCTTGGAGCATTCCTGGGGCATACGGAAACGTATTGGGCGCATCAGAGGGCTTCTCGGTACTCTCTGGGGCTGTCTTTGGGCCTGCTCAGGGTTACAGGGGTCATTTGGGCGTTCCGTGGGGGATGTGGGGGCCGTGTTCGGGGGAGCATGCTCGGCCTAGAGAGAGGTGCAGGTCGCTCTGATGCTGTCTTGGAGCTATCGCCGAGGTGAGTCAGGAGTGTGTGGACCATCTCGTCCTTATGTAGTGTTTGATAGGCAGCTGGCAGCCAGACGGAGCGAAAATGCGAAACTCGTACGGGGGTTGACGATTTGTGCCTCTTGGGGGCATGAACGGATCCAATATTGAAGCCATTTGCGTCCTCATGAAGCCATCGCGAAGCGAACTGAGAATTCGTCGATTCTCGTGGGCTGTGCACGGAGCCATCCTGAGAGGATTGGGGCGATTTTTGGGCGATCCTTGGGTTATCTTGGGCCGTCTTGGGGCCCTCTTTGAGGACCTCGTGGCTGTCTTGGAGCTATCTTGGAGACCCGTTGGGCCGCTTTGGGCGGTCGGGAACCAGACGAGGGTGATACGCTCAAAATTATTGAACACCATTGGGCGATCAATGTTTTTGCCTCCTCGTGCTTTCCTGGAGGGCCTCTTGAAGCCTTCTTCGGCCGTCTTGGAAGCCTCTCGAGCCGTCTTGAGGCCGTCCGGGAGCCTCTAATAATATTTTGGGCCATCTTAGGCCATTTTGGTGTTATCTTGGCTGTCTTGGAAGCCGTCTTGCGGGCCTCTTAAGCCGACTGAAGGCCGAAAAGTGCCCTGGATAGCAAATGCAGGGGGGGGGTCGACTTTATAAGGACGCGCGGGGGGGATTGGCCGTATAAAAGAACAAAAAACGCCTCTCAGCCCTTAGAGGAGCATCCTATCACGCCCCCTCCGTGCAAGGACGGTGGCAGATCGAGCATGTCATAGTTTACTTGTCGCATCGCTGGCATCCGTGTACAGCCGCTAGGATAGGCTCGTCATGCGTTCGTGCGGTAGGTTCGTGTCGTGTCGACCAGTGGCGACCCTGCTGCCGGCGTTCAACGTTGAACGTCGCGGGTGACCCAGAATTTCTCGATGTGGAACGATTTGACGTTTCAGAAACGGCCGATCGTTCAAGGATGAACGGTCCCCGCGAAGTCGGAAACCAACACCGAAGTTGGCACGACACGAACCTGCCGTACGTTCATTCATTTGTCCCCAAGATCCGCTGTCTGGACGCTCCAGTGCAGGTCCCCACCCTTCCTGGCAGGCTGTACGGGTCATACCCACGTGGTGAGGTCAATAACACCTGCTTTGACGCTGGTGCAGATGCTTGACTGCCCCATAACTCTTGACGGGTGGAAAGTTTAGAGGAACATGTTTGCACCACGGCGTATCAGTTTCGTTTTTCCGATGCGTCACTGGCGCGGTTGTGTTGGCTGTCTTGAAGGCTGCGATGTCGTGCTGTTTCTGCAACGCATGGTATTGGTGATGATCGCCGCACTCTCAGGTCAAGCTCGTTGTTAGGCTTTACTGCCCCACCACTTTGAAAGCTGACCTTTCAAGCCGTTCACCGTGCAAACATGGTGAACAACAGCGCTTTCGTCTTCCTCAAGCCGCTGGCGGTCACGGAGAAGATGAAGGAGCTGGTCTCGGCCTCAGCGAGGAGAGGGAGCTGCATCGGTGACAGCGAGTCCCCGCACCCCGCCTGGGGTCCATCCTATCGGGTTTTCAGATCCGCGCCCAGTCATGGCGAAGACTATTTAGACAAACCCCAAAGCCACCGACGTCGTCGGCTCGCCCAGGAGGGAGAGCAGAGGGGGCTGGCCTTCTCAGACGGCGGCGGGGCTTCTCAGAAGTCCTCCCGCCGTGCGGGACGCCTTCTGCGCTTTCTCCGAGGCCACGGAGGGCTTCTCAGAGGGCGGGAGGGTTTCCGAGAAGCCCCGCAGCCTTCCGAGAAGGCCGGCCTCTTCTGCCGTCCCCCCGTAGGCGCGCGACCGACAAAACGAAGTCGACGGCTGCGGCGACGGCGGCGGCGACGACGACGGCAATGCGGCGGGGAGAGGTTGGCCTCTGCGAGGAGGGAGCGTGGGCAGCCGCAGCGGCGGCAGGATTCGGGAGGGGAGGTTCGGTCTTGCGGCGGCTCTTGGGGCGTCTCGGGGGCCCCTGCAAGCCCTTGCCGGGGGCCATTGAGGGGCCTTCTTGGGCCGGCTTGGGGAGGCGTCTGGGGAAACCCAGGGAGCCCTCCTAGCCCAGAGACGAGGAATGTACAAGGAGAGGGAGGGAGAAGGAGAGATAATGAGAGAGCGAAGCATTTCGGGCGGTAGCTCAGTCCAGGCACCGAGGCTACACACGCCCCGCAAGCCTTCCTCGCAAGGCGGGAGGCGCCGCTTACGAAACCTGGGTGGTGGGATGACCCCCCCTGGCGCGGTCTTTGGGGACCCCGATTTGAAAGCAAAGCGGGTATGGGGTGATCAGGCCGCTCAAGGGCCCGTCTGCGCACCCGTGGCAGAAGCGCTGCCTTTACGCCTGCGTTGGCTTGCGCGATGCGGAGCTCAGGAACAGGTGAACGGCACCGCCTTGGGGCCTGCCCCGTAGCGGCCCAGTTAGAACAGGCGACGGAACCTGTGCCAATTGTTCACGTGGCCCTTTGGCGGAGAGGGGTCCCAGCACTGGTGTGCCGCACGTTGAGCGTCGATCAGGGCAGGTTGCCGTGGAGGCATGTCCCCAGGGCCCCTGGCGGGGGTATTCTGCCGTGCCTCGGGGTTCCCGCCGACAGTCCTGCAGCAGGTCCCGCATCAGGGCCCTTCGCCTCCCCGAGGAGGCGCCCGAGCTTCTTCGGCGAAGAGCGGCCCGCAACAGCTGTGGCGACACTGCCGCCTGGCGATGCCGTTCTGGCGCGCTCTCCGCGCGCATCGGGCAGCGTCTTGGTGCAGTGGTGTCGCGTCGCATCCCTCCCCTTCTCCTCCTCCTGGGCTCCTTCCTCCCTCTCCTCCTCCTCCTCCTCCTCCTCCTCCTCCTCCTCCTCCTCCTCCTCCTCCTCCTCCTCCTCCTCTCTCCTCCCTGTCCCCCTCTCCTCCTCCTGATCCTCCTCCTCCTCCTCCTCCTCCTCTCCGTAGCCATTTTGGCTCAAGGTTTTGGTTTCCCCTGGGAACAAAGTGGATACCGCTAGTCCGCGGCCAGCTTTCGTCTTTCGCCTGGTTCGCCCCAGGCAGAGCGCCGTGCGGTCCGCCCCGCACGGCCCAGCCCCACCACGGCCCGCTTGTCCTGCCTCGCGTGGTTCCTCGTCGCGTGCGCACTCGACCTGCCCGTCCGCCAGTCGGCATGGCGCCCAGGTCTCGCAGCACGGAGGCAGGCCCATGGTATTGCAAGTGGTGCAAGCATGAGCCTACAGGAACGAGCTGGATCAACCGTGGTGATCAGAAGTGGTGTGGCAAGTGTGGCATCCCGAAAGGCTCCGCCTTCTACGGGGTGCCCCCGCCCAAGGTCCCAGTGCAGCGCTCTCATGAATTGGTCACGAAGCGTGAGAAGCTCCTCACCAAGCAGTTGGAAGAGTTGCAGCAGCGCATGCAGAAGCTGGTTGGCAGTCATAATGGTACGGAGTTGGAGTCCAAGGAACCCGCTATTCCTCCCTGGGCCAAAGGCACTGGAGTGGCGGTCAAGCGTGAACGCCTCGCCAAGCTTGGCAGCTTGCTCAAGCTCCTGTCGGGGCCTGAGGACGCCGAGCAGCGGGCGGTGTATGAAGCCGAGAAGCAGCGCTTGCAAGCCGAGCTACAGGCCGACAAACCTATCGAGGCCAATCTGCAGGGGCTTACCAGTCAGCTCAAGACCGCTCGCACGAAGCTGTCCAGCATCGCTGTCAAAAAAGAGGCTGCTCGTGCGACGCTGGAGAAGGCCAAGCTGGCCCTGGCGCAGGTCGAGCAGGACGAACAAGTTGCTAACAAACATATCATGGAGCTTGAGGAGAGGTTGCGCCATGTGGTTGGACCCGCGGTGCAGTTCGATGACAAGTCGCCGTCTCTGTCCACCTTCTTGCCAGGCATGGAGGCCACGGTCGAGCAGTTCGACGCTGTGGTCCGTGCGCTGGGCGGTTCGGAGCGGTTCAGCACAGACCTCATCGCCGTGCGCGCGCTGGTGCAGAAGCTCAAGGAAGCCCCAGAGGTTGCAGCTGCACCTGAACCGCCTCAGCACGAGACTCAGTCCACTCCTCCTGAGGCTCGAGAATCCATGGATATCGACGATGACGAAGATCGGGATCGTGCTAATGCTCACGTCGATGGCCTGGGCGGTCGCACATGCCGTGAACATCTCAAAGAGTGTGGTATCGACGTCGACGTGGGCGGGGAAGATGACGAGATTGACGACACTAAGGAGCGTGAGCTTCGTGACAAGCTCAAGCGTCATTTGGCCCAAGTTCACTCGCTTACCAAGAAGTTCAAGACCAGTGGTGCGACCGCCGCGTAATGTGATCGGGCGGCTTGCTGTGGTTTTGTTCTGTCTATGCTCTCTTTTTGTTGCAATGACGACGCCTACTGCCCAAGAGGAGCTGACCTCAGCTCCCAGGCGTTCTCCTATGGACGATCCTGACGTTGACCCCTTTCAATTTGATCAAGCAGCTGACAGTCAGCCTGATCTGCCTGAATCATGTGCTCAGGTTGCCCCTACTGCGTCTTCTGCAAGGGCAGCTACTGCGACTACGGGTGCCACGCCATCGTCTCGGTCGCTACACTCACCTGTCACTAGGGGGCAGGCAGAGAGCGCCACATGTGCGCCGATTGCGTTGACGAGCTCGGCCCCTTGCTCGACGAGGGTGGATGGCTCTACTGCTGGTCGTTCCGATGGCATGCATCCTTTAGACCCTGGCAGCACGCGCTGCTCACCACGCTCGCCCGATGGACATCGCGTGGCAGAGGGTACCGACTGTCCAGGGGTTCGTCGACCTGATGTCAAGGTTGCTGGCCAGGTGAAGGGCAAAAGCGACTCACAAATTGTGACGCTCAACTCGAGTTCGCTGGGTCCACTGTGCGACTACCTGGTGGACAGCACTGCTCACGTGGTGCTGGCGCAAGAGCACCATGTGCCTGATACCAAGCTTGGCGAGCGTCAGTCGCAAGTTGAAGACACTGGCTGGAGAGGGCTCTGGGGCCCTGCTGTGCCTAACCAGGATGGAGGGCCTGGCACTACAGGTGGAGTTGCAGTATTGGTCAGGTCACACATTCCCATCAAGGCGCCTCCTGGCCGTGCTAGTCATGTACTTGTTCCTGGCAGGCTTGTGGCTGCGCACGTCATGTCCTTTCTGCCTGGAGGAGTTGTCTTCCTGTCGGCCTATCTCAAGGACGGCGAAGGGTACGGACCGTGCAATGCCGAGCTGGTGTGGGAGATCATCGAGTACCTGTCAGTGCTCAATGGCATGCAGATCCCGTGGATCATCGGCGCCGGTTTCAACATGCCGCTCACCGCCCTGGACCAGTCCGACTGGATAGCGGCGGCTGGAGGACTGGCTTTCGTTTCTGAGGCGCCCACTTGCAGGCAGGTTTCACCAGGCACGCACCTTGATTATTTCATTTGCAGCAGCTGGCTGGCGCCAAAGCTCAACCCCCGCACGTGCGTGTTGGAGGCGGCCACCACCTGCCCTCATCTCCCCGTCCAGCTTACGTTGAGGGCTCGGGAGACGCCTGTTTGGGCTCGGGTGGCCAAGGTCCCGAAAGCTTTCCCGTCGACCCCTCCCGTTGGCTGTGCTAGACCTCCTATATACCCGTGGCGCGCGGTTTTGACGACCGCTGCCCCGCAAGTGGACTCTGTAGCCAAAGTTGCTGATTTTTGGGATCTCGTCCTCGAAGGGGTGGAAAGAGAGCTGGCCGCCAGGTGGGGCCGTGTTGGCGTTGCCGCCGAGGCCTACGTGGGCCGCAGTGGGCCTCTTGAGGTCCATTTCAAAAACCTTGTCTGGACTCCCCCCAGAAGGGGGACTTATAAGGATCCGCAGGCACGTGCCTGGGCCGTCGCTCTTGGGTGGGCCAAACACCTTGGCAAGGCCAGAGAACATCTCAGTGAGCAAATTAGGCTGTTGCAAGAAAACGATGCTCCGTGTTCTGCTGTGCCTCGCCAATGTCGCAAGCTTTTTTCGGCTTTTGAGGAGTTCGATCGTTTCATGGCCAACATCGCCCGCTGTAAAAAAGTTCTCGGTTGCCTTGACTCTGAGGTGCGTGATTTCTTCAATGGCGGCTTCGCCGTCCTTGCACGTCCCGATGTGGCCAGAATGCTTACCACTATCTACGTTCGGGCGAAGACTGCTATCGCTCGTGCGGAGAACGCGGCGTCCCAGGCTTGGAGGCAATGGGCTAGGGACGCTTTCTCTGCTGGCGCCTCAAAGGCTCACAGGTTCTCAAAGGTGAAGGCCATTCAAGAGGTTTTAAGCAACCAGGCGCGTGAGGCTCCCCACCAGCAGGCCGATGCGGAACTCGTTCCCTGGAAGGAGGTTTGGTTGTCCCACGGTTGTTCCGTTCTCGAGGTTCCGCGTGGGTCCACCAGCTGGCCCATTCTGCCGCGCATCACGGCCGCTCAGGTGGAGGATGCTGTTCACACTTACCCCACTCGCACTGCTGGAGGCATGATGGGTATTCATCCGAGAGCTTTAATACACCTGCCTAGACAGGCATTCTCGGCGATTGCAGAACTCTTTAACTTGTGCGAGTTGCACCTAGCCTGGCCTAGAGAGCGTGTCTGTAATGAGATGTGTCGTCTTGCCAAACCAGATGGTGGGACTCGACTGATCGCGCTCGTCTCTTTGCTGTGCCGTGTCTGGGGCAAAGTTCGCAAGCCCATCACCTTCGACTGGCAAGAACGTAATGACTGCCACGCTGTTTGGGGGACTCGTCGGGGTCACAGCTCCTCAGACAGTGCTTTTGCTCACAACATTGCTGCCGAGATGGCGGCGCTAGTCGGTGATATTTCCATTTCTGTCCTCTTAGATATGATCAAATGCTTCGAGATGGTACACTCGGAGCAGCTGCTGAAAGAAGCTGAAGCTTTGCACTTTCCAATGCGGCTAGCTTGGATGTTGGTGGATCTGTACAGGCAGCCACGACGTCTTCGAGCTTTCGGCAGTCTGTCTGTGCAGTTCTGCTCGCATCAAGGCATCCTTGCTGGGTGCAATCATGCGACAGGCATGCTTTTCCTCCTCACGCTGCGCGCGGTGCGTAGGCTCAATGACATTTCGCCCTGTATAACACCGAGAGCCCTAGTCGACGACATCTCGATTCAGCTCGTCACTTCGGATCCTCGGGACGTGCGTTTCCTGGAGCGTGCTGTGAAAGTGTTCACTGAAGATGCCAAGGTCCTCGGGCTCCACTCCCATGTCAAGAAGTCGGGGCTCATTGCTGGGAACAAAGTGGCTCGGAAGGTGTTTTCGAAGATGGCTATTCGGCTGCATCTACCTGTTCGTAGATGGATGAGAAATCTCGGGCATGAATTAGCTGCTGGTCGGGTTGTTCGCACGCAGGAGAAGAAAAGGTTACAGGCTCTCAGACGTCGTCGTGACAAGTTCGTTGCGCTGAAACATGCAACTGGCAAGCGTGCAACCCGACTGTGGAGGACTGGAGCTCTCCCAGCAGCTGGACACGGTGGCTCCGTGTCAGGCATCTCAGACACTGCGCTGAAGTATTTGAGGCAGCTTGCGGCTACGATCGCAGGGGCCAAGCAGCACGGTGGCATTACTTCGTATCTGCTGACGCAGGCCGATCCGCAATACGACCCGATCTACGACTCCACTACTTGTGTGTGTGTTAAGTTCGCCACGTTCGTCTGGGACGAAAGGATCCAGTTATCGAGACTTCAACGTGCTTGGGCCCGTCTGAGAGACATCATGTCCGATAACCCTACCTGGCAGCAGGCTCGAGGTCCGCTGTCGGCGGTGTGGCTCAGCCTGCTTCGCATCGGCTGGACGATGGTCAATGCCCACACTTTTCGCAGCGATCTTGGTACAGATATTTCGCTGCTGGTGGTGTGTCCTAGTGATGTGCGTATTGCGATTATTGAAGGTGTGCAGCGGTGGCAGATACGTCGGTTGCAGCAGCATCTCTATAACACTGACCCTCCAGAAGGGGAGCCTTGGTTTCGTGCGCTACGTAATGACATACGTGCTGTAAAAGACCAGCGGGCTCTTGGGGCCCTGGCGGCCGTCTGGGGGAATGTGGTTCCGCTACCTGCTGCACTTTCTGCTCTACAATATGATGTACCACCCGTGTGCCTTGCCTGCTCCGCTCCTCAAGGTACGTACGGACATGTGTGGTATGCCTGCTCTAAGTTCATCACCGACGACGGGGTTGACGCGTTGGGTGACGAGGTTCCTGAGGCCCTAGCTAAGCATAGGCGCGTTCTGATTGAGTCTCGGGCCTCTATTACTGGGGAGCCCGATGTACACTCTAATTATTTAACTTATGGCATCCCTCCTCTACCCACTAATATTCCCGCTCCGCTTGCCAACCCGCCTATTTTTGAGTTTGGGGACGTCTCTGGGCCCTGGGGCCCACAGTCTTTCACTGACGGTAGCTGTTTTCACTCTGGGGTCCCAGAGGTCTCCAGAGCTGGTTGGAGCGTGGTGCAGTTATTTGATTGCCTGCTTCCTTTGAGGGCAGTATATGGAGCGCTTCCAGGTGAGCGTCAGACCATAGGTCGCGCTGAACGTTGGGCAGTGCGGCAGGGTCTGGCTTTTCACCCACAGCATCAGAGTATTGTTTCGGACCTCCAGGCAGTAGTGCGTGAAGGCAACTCTTGGAGCCTGCATCTTTCCCAAGGCATGTCCAAGCATGCATCGATCTGGAGGTCCATATTCGACTTGAAGTCTAATCACCCCCAGTTCTCGTGGTTCCCTGCCCATCTGAGTTTTGACGACGTTTTGGAGCGTGGGCTGTGTATCAAAAGTTGGGCTGGGAACCTGTGGGCTGATTTTTTCGCCAAACTAGGGGCTAGCTCTCACACGCTGGCTGAAGGTTTCTGTGCGGCGGTATCAGGTCAATTAAAATATCACAAGTCCACGGTGCGGTTCCTTGCATGGGCTGCTCAACGTTTGCTCGAGTCAGGCACATGGACACAAGTTGACCCTGATCGTCCCCTCCGCCTCTTGAGAGCCCCTGCCCCTCCTAAGGTCACGGTCACTAGCCATGTGTTATTTCGCTGCGAGGCCACCAGCACTTACAAGTGCAGGAGCTGTGGCCGCGTGGCTCGCACTCTGGAGTCGCTTAAGAGCCTGCTCACGAGCAGAGACTATCGTGATTGTTCTCCGTCCTCGATCCAGCGACACGTGTGCGACCAGTGGTTTCGCGAGTTTGGGGCGGCTTTTAGGCCCGTGCAGCTGGAAGCAGTGAGGGTTGCTCTGGCTGCCGCTGACGAAGCTCAGCGTGCGTGCATTGATGAAGTCCAAGGTCCCCCGACTCCTGTGGCTGTGCCTGAGCCGTCGGACGAGTTTTCTGTGTTTCGGGACCTTGGGCACGACGTTTTCCGTCATCTGCATGTGTACTGTTGTAAGTTGTGCGGGGCTTACGGATCTCTTGGCTCGCTGCGAAACCTCACGCAGCAATGCAAAGGGAGGTCCAAGGTCCCGAGCACTGCCGCCAACCAGAGAATGTCGATTAGACGGCTGGAGCGCGGGTGTCACCCCAGAACGGGCGTGAAGATAGCTGGGGCCACCGAGCGCGGCGATGACCGCGCGGAGCTCCGCAGTGCTGTTGATCCGAGGCCGCTGGAAGCGGCCGCCAGTGTTCCCGAACCCGTTCCCGATGGAGCGAGCTCAGGGTCTGATTAAACTCGTTTTGTTTTTCTTGGGCCGCCCTTGTAGTCCGTCGCCCGTCGTCTCCCCCTCCCCCGCCGCATGCGTGTGCCTCTTCCTGGTGCTCTCGGCGCTGGGGAGGATGGCGTGCGACGTGGCCAGGCAGGCGGGGCGGCCCTCCCGCTCGGCCCGCGCCCTGGTGTGTGCTGGGTGCTGATTGTACCGGACCACCAGCTCGAGGCTTGCCTCTTGCTGGTGGCGTGCGGTCCGCGCGCGCCTCCTCCTCCTCCTCCTCCTCCTCCTTCTCTTCCTCCTGCTCCTCGTCCTCCTTCTTCCCCGCCTCCTCGTTGATACTTCTGTATCTTTTCTTCGTCCTCCTCCGCTTTCCTCCCCCTCCCCTTCCTCCTCCCCCTCCCCCTCCTCCCTCTCCCTCCTTCTTCCTTCTATATACAGACACATACATGTATGTATGTATGTATGTATGTATGTATGTATGTATGTATGTATGCATGCATGTATGTATGCATGCATGCATGCATGCATGCATGCATGCATGTATGTATGTATATATGTATGTATGTATGTATGTATGCATGCGTGCATGCATGCATGTGTGTATGTATGTATGTATGTATGTATGTATGTATGTATGTATGTATGTATGTATGTACGTACGTACGTATGTATGTATGTATGCATGCATGCATGCATGCATGCATGTATATATGTATGTATGTATGTATGTATGTATGTAGGTACGTATGTATGTATGTATGTATGTATGTATGTATGTATGTATGTGTATATATCTGTATACACATAGCTCACTGTCGCATCCCCAGACGTGTTGGTAGGGCGGGCCGTGCGTTTCGCCTGAGACTTGCTCACCATTTCTGATCCGCGAGCTTGGATTTTGCAATAGCTTCAAGGATACAGGGCGGCTGGGTTTCAACATGTGGCTTTCGTTTTAGTGCCGCGCACGCTCGTCTCAAATGTTGGCAGCGTTTTCAATGATAGAGGGCAAGTGGTTTTCAAACTGTGACTCTCGCTTCAGCGCCGCGCACCGTTGTCTGTAATTGGAGCAGTTTCAAGGATGGATGGCGGCTCCTTTCCAACCATTGGCTCTCGCCTCGGCGCTGCGCACATTCGTCTTGACAGTTTGCAGCAGGTTCCAGGATACGTATGGCTGAAGTGCCAGAAATGGTGCTCTGGTGCGATTAGGGTTGTCAGGACGCAGCAGTCACGCCGATTCGCGTTTTTGAAGTCCCATGAATGGTGTTCCGGCGTCATTCAGGATTGTCAGGATGAAGCGGTCACGTTGATTCGCGGCGTTGAAGTCCCAGGAATGGTGTTTCGGCACGGTTGATGGTTCTCAGGCAGTTGTCTTCCAACGGGGCACTTCGGTCAATGAAAACACATCCGAGTATGGGGATTCTGAAGAGGGAACTTGGAGGGAGGGTTTGCTGTATCATCGTTGATGCGTCTTGGGTTTGCACTGGTCCTCCTTCCTCTCCCTCCCCCCCCCCTCCCAGGGGGGCGAGGGCGGCGGCTCGCCTCCGCTGGCGCCGTGCCAGCCCTGCGAGCCCCGTACCGAGGTCAAGAAGACCTTCGAGGAGAAGAACATCAAGATAGTGAAGGACCCTCGAGGTCCGAGGAGGGATCTAGGCTCGAGGTTTTCGGGGCGCTCCCCGCCCGAGGCTCGAGGAGGGATCGGGGCTCGAGGCTGCTGCTGGGCGCCCCGCGCCTCTCCAGTCGGGCCTCCGCGAAGATCCCTCCGCGGCCTGCGAGGGACCCCAGATACGGTAGGTTTGCGTCGTGTCGACCAGCGGCGACCCCAGCGCGGACGTTCGAGGTTGAACGCCGCCAGCGACCCAGAATCGATCGATGTTGAACGATCGGACGTTGCGGCAGCGGCCGATCGTTCAAGGTTGAACGATCCCTGCGGTGTCAAAAACCAACACTGGGGTCGGCACGACACGAACCTGCCGTACGCCTCGAAGTTCAGGTCAGAACGCACCCTGGAAGAGGTCGGGGAGTAGCGGTCTCGTTACCGTTTGACTTCCTCCGGGTCGGCGTTGCGAGGGCCAGAGCGTGGACGGGCGGCGTCTTCTCCGCGGGCGGTACAGGCGTATGGCGGATGGCCGATTACCAGGCTCTGCGTCCACAGTCGTGCCCCGACTCTGCAAACTGCCGGGTTGTGTGATGGGGACGTCGATGGCAGTCACGGTAGTGATAGTGATAGTGACTGGAGCCAGTAACAAGCAGCCGTTGGCTGCGAGTGCATTCGGATGCAGGGATTGTATTGTTGAGTGTGTGCCGCAGTGGGCGTGATTTTTGGGCTGCGGCAGTCCCATCCTTGGTGTGTGTGTGTGTGTAAGGCGCTCCAAGCTGAAAGCTGGCCTCGCCAAATTGATTCAGTCCATCGCGTTGAATTCCTTGCCTTGAGGCCGCATCAGCACTTTGATATCTACCGCGGCTCGCGCACGAACAAAACTCGCTGTTGACGCTTGCTAGTCTCCTAGAGCTTTCGTCCACCTACCAGCACAATAATACTGCTTGCTCGATCGCAGATAATATTTTTCTGATCACGGCTTGCTTAGCTACTGGCAGCTCCCTGGTATATTGCATGATTGCATTTGTTCAGTCACAATCATTAATAATCATGCCGATGAGTATCAGAAAGGTCAAGGTGATGAGTAGGCAGCACTCGGGGCGCGGCACGAATGAGCCTCCTCCTCCTCCTCCTCCTCCTTTTCCTCCTCGGCTTCCGGGGCTATCCTTCCTGCTCCCCGCTCCCTCCTCTCCTCTCGTCGTCGTCGTCGTCCTCCTCCTCCTCCTCCTCCTCGTCCTCTTCATCCGGCGAAGGAGGGCTCGATCGAAGCCGACACTATCGACAAAAAACAGCTCATCGACAAGCACTACTACGCTATCGCATCCAAGGCGGCGCTCCCGCACCCTCACATCTATGGCTCATTGAGATCAGCTCGATTTCACCACTTTGCGTCGCCTGCGGTCGGGGTTCGATTGCCCAACCCCCATTGAACTTCGTTAGCGCCGGGAGTTGGTGCGAGAAATTCTCCTTCGATTCTGGCTCCGCCAGCCACGTGCTGGCCGTACCTAAAGTTTATCGCTGGGGGCTGGGCCACCATGGACCGACTGCATGTTGCAGGCAGTCTATGAAGTTGCGTTTTGGAGTGTGACGCCCTGGTGGCACATCGCACTATTTGAGGTGCCACCGCCTTGCCCGCTTCGTCTTTCGCCCTCGAGCTGTCGTCCCTTCGTCCGCCTCGGCTTCAGTCTCCCTGTCTAATATCCCGCCTTTGACCTCGCCTATGAGAGTGCGATTTTGGCACCCTTATATATATATGTGTGTGTATATATATATATTATATTCTCCCATTTCTATATCTTATAATCTAGGGGTGTGCGACCCCCCCCCCCGAAACGGGACCCCCCGGATCCGTGACACGGGGGAAGGCCAGAAAGCATTGCCAAGGCGTGCACGCAGGCGGGTGGCAGTCCCAAATTGATCGGCGAAAGGCCCAGGAGCCGTCACCCCAAAGAGGCGTTCGAACCTCAGAAACATCGATGTTTCATTGGTTTTTGTATGATCTTCGAATACTCGCTAATTCGGCTTTCCACGCGTCCGAGAACGTTGGAAACTCACTGACGACCGCTCCTAGACTGCCCAAATGGACCCTATGAGCGCCCGAAGCGGTCCCCAAACTGCCCACAAGAGTCCCCATGACCGCCTAAAACTGACCCCACGACGGCTGGCGCAAGGCCTGACGCCACAAACGGTCCAAGATGGCATCATGCGGTCCAGGCCCTTGCTGGATGCTCGAAGGCGCTTCGGATGTCACCTCCAAGAGGCGCTCGAAACCCTGAAAATCTTGATTTTTTTGTGGTTTTTGTATGCTTTTCGACTATGTCCTGATTCGGCTTGCCAGGCGTCCGAGAACGCAGGCGAGGCACCGAAAACCTTTCCCGACTCCAGAGAAGCCGTACGGGGGTCCAAGACGGCTCCTAAACTGCCTACAAGCGGCCCCATGGCCGCCCCAAACAGACCCCAAGGCGGGCGGCGGAAGGCCCAAGACACGACCAAGACACGTCGAACCCGAAAAACACTGATGTTTCAATGATGTTGTAAGATTTACTACCATTCGTTCCTTCGGCCTGCCGGGCGTCCGAAAGCATTGTCGAAGCTCCGAACACCGCTCCAACTAAACGCGCTTCCCGAATCCCCAAAGCGGCCCCACGAGGGCCCGGGACGGCCCCCCATCTGCCCATGGGCGGCGCCCTGACGGCCAGGGGAGGCCCCAACACGAGCCAAATCAGCCCCCTCCCTCTTTAGGAAGGCGCCATGAGGGCCCTAGACGACTCCCAACGTGCCCATACGCGGCTCCATGACAGCCCGGGTACACCGTCAGGACGCTCCTCAACAGGGCCACCCAGGAATTCCAGCTCTACAGGGGCACCTTCTCAACGTTCACCCGAGCGTGCAAGCGGGCGAGCGGCAGTCCCAAGACGCCCCGAGGAGAGTCCGAGGTGGCTCCGAGATGGGCCACAAGGCCCTCACGCCGCTTCGGCAGGCCCCCACGTAGATCCCTGAGTTCTCGCCCGCTCAGATGGTATTTCATTACGGAAATCCGCATTTTGCCCACAGCCCCAGGTTCGCAACCCTTTTTCTGGAAATTCTGTTGCGCACCCAGGACTTCAGCAGTTTCCATTTACGCCATTCCGTGCGCCCGTGGTCTCCGACTCACAGCCTTCGCCCGTCCCAAGTTGACTGCCCCTTTCTCTCCATCCCCCGCTTCTCCGTGATACGAGCGAGCGAGCACGCATCAAAGGGAAAAGAGGACGACGCGACAGGCCAACCGCTCCAAAGCTTCAAGGAACAAGGTGCATGGCGCGAAGCGCCAATGCAGCCTTGTGTATTTATATATATATATATAAATATATGCAGATATTAGTATTAATTTAGATATGTAAGACCATCTATATTTAATAATATACACATCCACCGCATTGCTAATTTATCCGTGAGGGCTTCGCCCCCTGCCGTCGCCCCCCTGTCTATCATAATGGGATAAACCAGAGTCGCGTCGGTGCGTCTCGGTGCTGCCTTGGCGCATCTGGGAACATCATGCGGGGGCGGATAGGAATCATCGCCGCATATTGAGACGCTGGCGTTATTGAATACGCCTACGGTGAATCACCGCCGCCCCCTGCCTTTTGGACTCGCCCATGTGGCCGAGCGTTGTGGCAACAGCTCTGCCATGCTATCGGGCCATGTTTCCCCCCCAACCGTTGTAGAAACCCTTTGGGGAACACTTGGGGGAGGATGGCGGGGAAGACCAGAAGGAGGAGGAAGATGAGGAGGAGGAAGAGGATAGGGAGGAGGAGGAGGAGAAGGAGGGGGCATCTTGGGAGCCTCTGGGGGCACTCTTGGGGCCTCCTGGGAGCTTCCTGGGAGATTCCTGGGAGCCTCTTGGAGGCATCTTGGGGGCCTCCTTGGACCTCTTGGGGGCCTTTGGGAGCTTCTCGGGGGCCTTTTGGGCAGCCTAGGGCATTCTTTCCCCGTCTGACGCCGTCGGAAGCCGTCTTGGGGGCCTCTCTGGGCCGACTTGGGGCCCTCTTGGGATGCTCCAGGGTCGTCTTGGATGCTTCCTGGGGCGTCTTGGAGGCCTCTTGGGCCGTCTTGGGGCCCTCTCGGGGCTGTCTTGGGGGTCTCTTCGGCCGTTCTGGGGCCGTCTTGGAAGCTTCTTGGGCGATCCTGCGGCAATCCTTGGGGGCTCTTGGGCCGTCTCGGGCCGTCGGAAGACCGAAAAGAAGCAAATGCCAACATTCTTCAAACACCTAGGGAACATCAGTAATTTTGGCTTTTTCGGGCCTTCCTGGAGGCCCTCTTGTGGGCCATCTTGGAGACCTCTCGGGGGCCTCTTGGGCCGTCTCGGGTCATCGTCAAATGATTTGGGGCCGTCTTGATGGCCTCCTGGCCCGTCTGACGCTGTCGGAAGCCGTCTTGAGGGCCTCTCTGGGCCGACTTCGGGCCCCTCTTGGGGCCGTCTGGGGCCTCTGGGGCCGTTCTGGGGCCATCTTGGAGGCCTCTTGGGCGATCTTTGGGCGATCTTTGGGGGCTCTTGGGCCGCATCGGGCCGTCGGAAGGCCGAAACGAAGCACATGTCAAAATCCTTCGAACTCCTTGGGAACATCAGTATGTTTGGCCTCTTCTGGCCTTCTTAGAGGCCCTCTTGGATGCCTCTTGGGCCGTGTTGGGCCAGCCTAGAGCCAACTTCGGCTATCTTGGAGGCCATCTTGGGCCAACGTGGCCATCTTGGAGACCATCTTGGGCCAGCTTGAGCAACAATTCTGAGAATTCCGGGCCGTCCGGGTGGCCGGCGGGACGGGCCGAAGCCCCAGGGGGATTTTTTGGAAAAAGAACCAAAACCAAAACCGAAAGGATCCAGCACGCCAGGCACCCCTGCGATGAATCGACAGGGGGCGGCGGATCCTTAGTGGACTTCGGCCCATTCCGCCACTGTGCCTGGGTTGTGGGTCTGAGGCCTCTTGTATATGTGTTGGGGTGTCGTGGGGAACCTCTCGGGGGCCTCTTGGAGGCGGTCTGGGCGTCTCTTGGGGGCCTCTTAGGGCCTCTTGGGGTATCTGTTGGGCCTCTTGGAGGCCTCTTGGGTGCGTCTCGGGCGCCTTTTGGAGCCTCTTGGGGCCTCTTGGAAGCCTCTGGGGGCCTCTTGGGGATTTCTCGGGGCACAACTATCGAATGTTCGGTTCGTGGTCCCCTGCTTGGGCCCCTTTTGGGGCCATTTTGGGGTCTTGGGCAGTCTTAAGCGCTTCTTGGGTCATCTTGGAGCCCTCTTGGGCCGTCTTGGGGCCCTCTTCGAGGCCTCTTGGGCCGTCTTGGGGCCCTCTCGGGGCTGTCTTGGGGGTCTCTTCGGCCGTTCTGGGGCCGTCTTGGAAGCCTCTTGGGCGATCCTGCGGCAATCCTTGGGGGCTCTTGGGCCGTCTCGGGCCGTCGGAAGACCGAAAAGAAGCAAATGCCAACATTCTTCAAACACCTAGGGAACATCAGTAATTTTGGCCTTTTCGGGCCTTCCTGGAGGCCCTCTTGTGGGCCATCTTGGAGACCTCTCGGGGGCCTCTTGGGCCGTCTCGGGTCATCGTCAAATGATTTGGGGCCGTCTTGATGGCCTCCTGGCCCGTCTGACGCTGTCGGAAGCCGTCTTGAGGGCCTCTCTGGGCCGACTTCGGGGGGCCGTCTTGGGGGCCTCTTGGGCCGTTCTGGGGCCATCTTGGAGGCCTCTTGGGCGATCTTTGGGCGATCTCTGGGGGCTCTTGGGCCGCATCGGGCCGTCGGAAGGCCGAAAAGAAGCACATGTCAAAATCCTTTGAAAACCTTTGGAACATCAGTATGTTTGGCCTCTTCTGGCCTTCTTAGAGGCCCTCTTGGATGCCTCTTGGGCCGTGTTGGGCCAGCCTAGAGCCAACTTCGGCCATCTTGGAGGCCATCTTGGGCCAACGTGGCCATCTTGGAGACCATCTTGGGCCAGCTTGAGCAACAATTCTGAGAATTCCGGGCCGTCCGGGTGGCCGGCGGGACGGGCCGAAGCCCCAGGGGGATTTTTTTGGAAAAAGAACCAAAACCAAAACCGAAAGGATCCAGCACGCCAGGCACCCCTGCGATGAATCGACAGGGGGCGGCGGATCCTTAGTGGACTTCGGCCCATTCCGCCACTGTGCCTGGGTTGTGGGTCTGAGGCCTCTTGTATATGTGTCGGGGTGTCGTGGGGAACCTCTCGGGGGCCTCTTGGAGGCGGTCTGGGCGTCTCTTGGGGGCCTCTTAGGGCCTCTTGGGGTATCTGTTGGGCCTATTGGAGGCCTCTTGGGTGCGTCTTGGGCGCCTTTTGGAGCCTCTTGGGGCCTCTTGGAAGCCTCTGGGGGCCTCCTGGGGATTTCTCGGGGCACAACTATCGAATGTTCGGTTCGTGGTCCCCTGCTTGGGCCCCTTTTGGGGCCATTTTGGGGTCTTGGGCAGTCTGGAGCGCTTCTTGGGCCATCTTGGAGCCCTCTTGGGCCGTCTTGGGGCCCTCTTGGGAGCTTCTTCAGTCGTCTTGGAGCGTCGGAACGCGGAAAATGCGAGAAGGCCAAAATCCTTCAAAAACCATCGTCACACCTACGATTTTGGCCTCTTGGGGCTCTCTCGGGAGGCCTCTTGGAGCGCTCTTGGGGCCTCTTTGGGCCCTCTTGGGTCGTGATGGAACCATCTTCGGGCGCCTTGGATCACTCTTGGCCTCCGCAATGCGACGATAGCATACATTGCAAGGTTTTATGGATTCAGGGACGCGAGCATGCAGTAACTTATACTGGTTTGTTGCCTCGGGGATGCGACTAATTTGTAATTTGGGAGGGTTTGTTGCCTCGGGGACGCAGCAATTGTATAGTTTCTTAGGGCGTATAGCCTCGAGGACGCGAATATTTATTGATTTGCCAGGGATTATGGCCTCGGGGGCGCGAATGCCGTGTATTTTTTCATGTCCCACGCCCCCCATGGATTCAGAGAGCGCGGTCCAGGCGTGGTAACCATGTCGTTTTGGGCTCCCCCCCCCTCGCGCGGATTTCAACAGTTTGCAGTAGGAAGCAGAAAGCAGGACTGTAACATTGCAGACTTGAAGCTGCAAGTGGTGCAGGGAGCAGCATACTTCGGCCTACAGCCTGGTGGCCCCACAAGGGGGCTGGCGGATTGGCCGCGGAGCCGTCGTGCCGGATTTTTAATTGTGCCCCCAGCAGCTTGATGGGGCAAGAACCGCACAAACTAGACATTCCCAAGACGGCTCTTTGCCTTCTCTTCCGCTTGACGCAGCACGGCTTTACAGGTCGCTGAGACCCGTTGCTCGGCGCGAGTATTTTGGGATTTCGAACCCCTCGTGACACCGACGCTCGTCCTTCCAGTGCCTCCCATCCCTCGTCTTGCGGAGAGCCTTTGAAGACAGGCGCCCCGAAAGGAGAGCCGACCCCAGGGTGAGTTTGAAGCGGCCCCTCCCCCTCACGACCTCACAACCTCCCCGTTGCCGTCTGACTCAGGGCTTTTGACGGCAGGCGCCCGACAGGAAGCGCCGATCCCAGGGCGAGCTTGCAGCGACCCCTTCTCCTCGCCCAGGCGGTGAGGGAGCTGCAGGAGGCGAGCCCGCTCGCACAGTGCGGCAGGCTCGGAGACAGCCAGACTCGTGCCCCCTCCCGTCCAAGCCTTCCTTTTCGGCAGGAGCGACATGGGTCCTCCGACATGGATTTCATGGTGAAGGGGT